GTTAGCGCAACTATCTATCAACCATTTAAAGCACAACCGCGCATTCCCAATAGCCTTTCTTTTGCATAGAACAACTTGACCTCGTCGCCTGTGCATTCCCCGGCCCACCTGTAAAAACTCCTATTACCACCGGTACCGTATTAGAGGTGACTGGGGTTTGCTTACTTCAGGCAGGACTACATAACCACATCCGACCGTAAAGTGGACTGCCAGGGGCGGTATGTTCCACTAGTCGTAACTTCGTATTTCTTATTAGGCGACTTGGATTACTGGCTTTCTCTCTTACCAATTTCAGCATGTGCCAGATGGACTCTGTTCTCTCCTCCCCTCCCCCAGACCATCATTTGTCCTCTTTTATCTCCTGTTCCGTCCACCCACTCGTAGGCATAATGACCTGCCAATTAGAAGGGGCCGTGCTTGAGTGACGAATGTTCACCTACGACCACTCGCTTTCTCTCTCTCCCTAGTCTGATTTCCAAAAGAAACCGAACCCCCCCCCTGTCGTGAAAACGTGTGCAGAAGAGGTCAAACGGAGAAGAGGGCACACCGCCCTCCCCTCAAACAGTGGAAGGGGGAGGGCGACGCATGCAGGGTGTGAACAGGGTCGCGCCAGATCTGACGCTCTTCGTACCACCTAAATTGGAAGTCAATTAAACCAATAAGGCACGCGTTGCAGACACTTTATCTCCAAATTGTCATGTGCTCCCCTTCTTGGTCGATGGAGGTGGCAGAGGAAGATGAATGTTTCGGAAGCTGCCATCTGTCGCCCACGCATGTATGGGGACCTGGTGGTCGACAGTTAGGCTTGGTTTAGTACGACATGTAAGTTATTGTGAGATCAGGCTGTCGGGCGCCGTGATCCGCAAAAAAAGCCTGGCAGCCAATCAACAGGCCTGAGAATTAATCTTACCTTGACCACTAATTTAAAAGTTGATTCCGCCACTCAGACGGAAGGCTGGTTCCATTGCGGTGGATGAGCAAGTAAATATTACGCCGAACAGTACGGCAAGAATGTATGTTGAGTTGTTTCTCTTTAGCCAACAGGGATTAATTAGAATGTATCTAAACAAAGGTGCTCAACGAAGGATTGCATACAGGCCTGAAGCTACCACACACGGTAGGATCATGAAAGGCAAGGACTGATTGAATCCCGGCTAGCACTCTGGTGTAATTTATCATATCCCTCGCCTAAAATTTCCTTGTAATTACACATGTCTGACTAAACGCATGCACGGGTCGCGTATACAGTAGCTGACCTAACTCATGAAACGTCGAGATCGGTATTTGAGTCGAGGGGACGGCATATATTTGGCGTGGTTATTTTTGTTTTTAGAATTGATTGGAGTCCCAAAATACCCTTTTCTAAAGAATAGGTCATATTTTTTTCGTTGTACTGAGGGGAAACGGACCAGAATTAGGCAAAGTTTGACGTCTCCAGATATCCACTTAATTGTCTTATTTGCACGCGTTGCGTTGTAAAGAAACTTCCAAATAACAAAGAAAAATAGCAAAGGTGGCCACTCTGGAAACGGAACTTGCGATTTTTAGTTCATGAAGATCAGATCGAGTCAAGTATGTAAAACACATTATTCTCATGAATCAAGAAGCAATTTGCTCTTCCTAAATTCTATTTAACAAAACTGTAACGTTTTATATCATTAAACACATTAATAAGCTTGTTCGACTGTGTTTGTTTTACTACACTGGGAACTTATAGGCGCAAACATGTATATAAAGATTGCGCGCTACATGCTGCCACTTTTCTTCGCCGCGCCGTTCAGCAAAGATGTCAAAACAGTCCCTATCGGAAGTTGACTTTGATCGGATATGAAAATTGGCAGCCGAAGGGCTGTCGCATGAGTCGTTAGCTAGTATTTTCAACAGTAGCCAGGGCACTGTCTGGAGAATTATTAATAACAAAACAATGCCTAGAACAAATCAACATGGGCCAAAACGGTCCACAAGCAAGCAAGACGACGATTTCATTCGTAGGACACTGAAAAAGTATCCTTTTATGCCCCTTAAGGCTAGTAACAGGGAACACCTGGTAATGTTTTCTTTGCACATAGTTAGAAAAAGAGGGAAAGGGTCCGGTCTCCATCAGCAAAACGTCATGTCAAAGCCATTTTTAAGTAGGGAACTTATTAGAGTTGGTTGTTCGACGGGGCGACGGATTATCAAAAGTGGCTGCCCACATCTTTGAAATCGGCCGCGAGTTCCACTTCGCAGCCACCAAGATAGTCGCCCACACCGGAAGCAAGGCAGACCGAGAACTGATTGAAATCCGGGCCTCGGATGAGAAATGGATCGGTCGATGTATCGATCCGGCGCGCAGTCACCTCCAGTCTTGCGTCAATGGCCGACAAGTACAGTGAGTGAACGAGCTCATGAAATGTTGGCCAAAATTCTGAAATGCGTTTTCGATTAGGAAGGAGTACTTAGCTGGGGTTGTAATATCGATGATCCCGAAGCACAGTCCTATAACATTTTTGGATTTGGCAGAATGTCGGCTTTTGGATGCACCTCTTTTCAATCTCCTGTAGAAACCGTACTCGGTAAAAAATGATTACTTAAGTAGCATGCATTTTTCGCACTGATTTTCGATGATCTTCTAGATTCAAACATACCTTATAAAATACGCGAACAAACATACTCTTCCTTTCACTCTTTTGGTAGAGAATCACGTCGACTTCATATTTTATACTCAAAAAAGAGTATTATTAAGTGTTAAAAAAGTTTCTGATTATGAGATTTTCTAAGACCGTGCAGTGTCCATTCATACAGCATCGTACCTATCAGTTTACTACTGCTCCCCATGAAATGTACAACACAGTCCGCATGCATTGGAAAATTTTATGGACTCTATATGGCATCTTTTTAAAGGTGTGAAAAAATATATGATTTTCCTTACGTAGAACGCATGCACCTTGTTGACTGAAATCACTAGGCCCTAATGCAACGGCTGATTTGGCTCCAAATTATTCGGGAATTAGAAAACTTTTTTAAACACCTAATAATACAATTTCTTTGAGTATAAAATATGAAGTTGACGTGATTCTCTATCAAAAGGGTGAAATGAAGAATACTTTGTTCGTGTTTTTTATAAAGTATGTTTGAATCTATAAGATCATCGAAAATCAGTGTGAAAAATGTATGCTACTTAAGTAATCATTTTCTACCGAGCACGGTTTCTACAGGAGATTGAAAAGAGGTGAATTCAATAGCCGAAATCCTGCCAAATCCGAAATACTATAGGATTGTGCTGCGGGATCATCAATGTTACAACCCCACCTAAGTAATCCTTCCTAATCGCAAACGCATTTCAGAATTTGGCCAACATTTCATGAGATCGGTCACTCACTGTAGCTAGTACCCCTATAAGTATCGCTAGTTCTGCTGTTGCTACTAGCCCTGATGATGGACTCCTGCAAGAATTCGAAGGCTCCGCCAAATAAACACATGGTTCTGTGGACAGAGCAGCCCCCTACCCTTACCAATAAGAAATGTGCGTGTGTATGTGTGTGCTGGAGAGATTGCCCCTAAAACGGGCCACGCAGTAGATGCGCTGGACCAACACACAGGGGCTAGATTGGAGTCCGGCAGGCGTTATTGGGAACGCGCAGCCACAAAAATACCAACATTCGGGATGTGGTGGCAGACCCAGTAGCAAGCTCACGCCGCACCAATTGAGATCCGTGCCGCCTCCTATTTGTGTTGTCGCATGGAATCTTGGCCAAGTGTTTGTTGTTTACCAGGAGATTTGATGGTACGTCTAGGTGCTGGTCCGGCCATGCCAGCCACCTGCGTCTTCCCGTGCTTCCGGTCTTCTTCAGTCTGTCTCGACGCGGGGTCTAGGTGGAGGAGGATAGAGTGCGATAGATACTGCGCAAGTCTACTATCATTACAAACTAATTCATGCTCATGTCTCCGTGTCTGCTCCACCTTGGTGTGTAGCACACGGTGGACATCGTCGGAATCGATGGTCGAACTGTCAGGTGCGGGTTTCGCTGTGCCAACTACCCGCGACCTCTCCCGTCTCCGGCCTTCTTGACCTGGTCATGAAACTGGGCCCAGTTGGAGGAGGAGGAGGAGGAGAGTGTGCAGTGGGCATTACGAAAATCCACTATCACTATAAATTAATTTGCGCGCAAATCACCGTCCCTTCGCCCATCCTGCTATAGGGTACACGGTGGACATAGTCGAAATCGACGGCTGAACTGTCGTGTGTGTGTGCGTGATAGAGAAAGACGCACATTGAATAAGACACTGAAAGGAACTCTGCTCCGACAGTGGAAGGGGGGGGGGTCGAGGACCGTGGGGGAGTGAGGGGGGAAGGGGTTGGGGAAAGAAGCCCAAAGCGACTCTGGCCTCAGCAGATCCTGCCCCCTCCCCTTCCCCCCTGCTCCTGATTAGTCGTGAGCCTTTTGCTGATAATGGCTGCGTGGAGAAGCGACCCTCGTGTAGTCGCTTTCTCGTCGAAAGGTGACATTAATAAATAATTACGGGCAGGGGGGAGGAAGGGGGCAATATAGCCCAAGAGGCGGGGTGGGACAGCCATCCCTCTGAAGCCGCACTTTCGCAGAACTGTTCAAAAACAGGTGGCTAATGAGAGAGCGCTGCTTTCTGAAAAGCCTAGGGGGGCGGGGGGAGGGACGAGTGAGGAAAGTTGGGCTGGGTTTGTCTCAATGACGGGCGCTGGTTCCCCTCCCCCTGGCAGTCAACCGTGAAACTCCGTGTCCACCTAAGGGTGAATTGGGTGGTTGGGAAAAAGGGAAACCCGGGGTCGCTGATTCTGCAAATAAGATGTAGACTGTGTCCCAGTTCTATCCACACGCTTTTCATCATGTGCTCAGTAGAGGGCCTTATTTAGTTAGACTTGGCAGTTGAAAGGTTATTCGCCAATCTGGACTTAAAACCCGGTTTCACAGGCAGCGCGCTGTTCGACTCTCCATCTCATCTGCGATACTGATTTGATACCAGAAACTAGAAGCCATTGTTATATGCCCGCAGTGAGTGACCGATCTCAGAAAATGTTGACTGAAATTCTGAAATGCGTTCTCAATTAGGAAGGATTACTTAGGTGGGGTTGTAATACTGATTATCATGCAGCATAACCCTATAACATTTTGGACTTGGCAAGATGTCAGCTTTTGAATACACTGCTCTTCAATCTCCTGTGGAAACCGTACTCGGTGAAAAGGGGCTACTTACGTAGCATGCAGTTTTCGCATTGATTTTCGATGGTCTCGCAAATCCAAATATATTTTGTAGAAAACACAAACAAAAATACGCTTTCCTTCAGTCGTTGGATAGAGAATCACGTCATCTTTATATTTTATACTCGAAAAAGAAGTATAATTGGGTTTTAAAATTTTTTTTAATTGCTGAATAATTCGGAGCCTGACCAGTCGTTGCACTAGCGCTTAGTGATTTCAGTCTACAAGGTGCGTGCGTTCCGAGTAAAGAAAGTCACATATTCTTTTACGTTCTTAAGAAGATATCATACAGAGTCCATAAAATTCTGCAATGGATACGCACTGTGTTATACATTTCATGAGGAGCAGTGGTAAAAATACAGGTACGATGGTATATGAGTGTACATTTTACGGTCTTAAAAAATCTCATAATTAGAAACTTTTTTAAAACCCAATTATACTGCTTTTTCGAGTATAAAATATAAATAAGGCGTGATTCTCTATTGAATAACTAAAAGAAGGCATATTTTTGTTTATGGTTTCTATAAAATATATTTGAATTTCCAGGACCATCGAAAATCAATGGGAAGAATGCGTGCTACTTAAGTAGTCATTTTTCGCCGAGTACGGTTTCCACAGGAGATTGAAAAGCAGTGTATTCAAAAGCTGACATCTTGCCAAGTCCAAAATATTATATGGTTATGCTGCATGATAATCAGTATTACAACCCCACCTAAGTAATCCTTCCTAATTGAGAACGCATTTCAGAATTTCAGTCAACATTTTCTGAGATCGGTAACTCACTGTAGGTGGAAACTTCCTGGTGAATTCGCAGTTGTTGCTTTTACAGTCACTAACAACCTCTTCTGTAAACCAAACAATTCTTTTTCCTCTTCTTCCTTCCCCCTCCCCCTCCTAGTTCTTCTTCTTCTTCTTCTTCTTCTTCTTCTTCTTCTTCTTCCTCCTCTTCTTCTTCTTCTTCTTCTTCTTCTTCTTCTTCTTCCTCCTCTTCTTCTTCTTCTTCTTCTTCTTCTTCTTCGTCGTCGTCGTCGTCTTCTTCTTCTTCTCCTCCATATTCCCCTCGTCATCATGCAATTCCTCTCAGGTAGTCTCAGCCCAGCAGTCCCTTGTTCCATCGCCCCGCAACCAGTTACTGCCTGCCCACAAAGGCATCTCCAAAGTGAAGGGGACGCAGTCCAACTAGGAAACGTGAGCACTTCGGTTGCCGGGCGCCACAACGAAGCACAGAGCAGTCGCTCATTCGGTGGGCGGAAGGACTCAATCACCCAGAAACCTCTAACCCCCCTCCCCGCTTCTGTGAGTCTTCCAGGCAGAGTCCTAACCCAGCAACCAGTAGCACGCTTCCAAGTCCCTTAGGCACATGCCTATACAGGCGCGAGCGGACATAATTAGCCCCATATGCCTCGACGACAATCTGAGTGGCAGCATAGCGACAGACGGACTATGAAGAGGGATGGAATGGAGAGCGGACCGCCCGCGCTGCCGTTGTCAAAACCACAGCCAATAGAAATTGGCGGGCGTTGGCGACGGAAGTGAGGACTGGGGAGGAAGCAGGGGGGTAACAAGACACTGCTGAATTCACCTCACAGCCAGGAGGGAGAAACTTAATTAATTATTTTATTTCTTAAATATCTGAACATACCGAGACGTCGTAAATTCTGGTGAAAAATTGCAGCAGAAAACCTCAGGAGAGGGGACGGTCTTTAAGAGTTGACTTTTTTGGGGCCAGTCCGGTAAAACAGGCACCGGCCTCTTGATATCCCTTTGTGTTCTCATTCCCTCTTTTATCCACACCGACATCTACTTCACTGTGAATAGATCGTAATTTGTGACCTCTCAAGTTGGAAAAAGCGCTCTGATGTGCTGGACTACGTGGGCAGATTAAAAATGAAGCAAAGTCGTGCGTAATACGTCATCCAGGTGGGATCAAGAATGATTTTGCAAAACCCAGTCTTTTAGAAATATTAGATGCTATTTTCTCGTTACTGTATCTCTTCAGAGCTGCAGAAATAAGAGATGCAAAGGGCAGAAAGTTTGCAGGTACGGCACCGGAATAGGTATCCCTCGAATTACGGTTGTCTTGGGCTACATTTCCGAGAATTAGGACTAGAGTTGGGGATACTATTAGGATCAGGAAGGTCTGACTTGGATATGTGGACCCCTCCCCCAGAATAATGCACGTGGCTTTGCGCTAAATTTCAATGGAGTTCCGATTCCCGTACCTTAGCTTCAACCTTAACCCTAACACCAACGCTCATAAACTTAACCCCAATCATAACCCTGCCTTTAACGTTTCTAACCCTAGCTGTAAAATCGACCCTAACCCTTGACATAATTTCCCTGGAACTCACGGCAAGTCCACCTGCAATACGCGGTGAGTACTTTTTATCCGTGTCCAAACAATTTGCGAGCGATGAAACAAACATTGGAATGGTTGGGCTTCGCTTTATTGGCCTCATCTTTCTGAGATTTCAATATGTCCTGCCCTGTTGAAAAGAGTCCTGACTTATTGAATATTGATGGTCATGCCACTGCTTACTAAGACCCCCTAAAGCAGAGCACGTCTGTATCGCGAACTGTAATCAGAATTGATCGATGAACGTCACTCACGCATCCCTTTGGGTGGTACCGATCGCAGCCGTCGGGACATGGACCCAATAATGGAGCGAGGGCTTTAAATGCAACGGAAGGCGGGTACAAACTGCAGGACTTTGCGGTCTGTGGGCGGTGTACGGGCGCACAGCGACGTCTTGTCATGTTCTTATGGCCTAAGGAAACTAAGAGGCTTTTAAAGCGCATCCCTGTGTTTCCGTGAGACTATACGCTTATAAATAAACGAAGCAACTAGTAATTAGTACTTGTCCCTTGCCGGTCTCGGCTCTATGCGTCATTTTTGAAACTACTTGTAGCCACAAATGTCAGACTGAAGGCATGCACGGATCGCGCATACAGGAATATAAGCTGGCTGTGCGACAGAGTGACAAACTGTTACAAGTGACTGTCCACACTTTCGAGACCAGTCTCGAGTTTAAATTCGCAACCACCATGACAATCACCCACACCGAAAGCAATACAGGCTGAGAAGTGTTTGAAGCCTGGGCCTCGGATGTGAATACATTGAGCGCAAAGACCAGGTGTTTTCGTATACGCGGCGAGCCAAGGATATTGATTAATCAATATTGCAATAAGTTCGAACACTCGGATAAAATTCGATTGAACACAATTAAAACAACAACAACAACAACAACAACAACAACAACAACAACAACAACAACAACAACAACAACAACAACAACAACAACGACATTTCGACCACCGCGATCGATGAAGTACACCACGTGCCCTACAGAGTGGTGGACACAGTACAGTAACTTACAAGTGACTTGAAGCAATGTTTCCCTGGAATGAATTAAAAGCAGGCATAGACAGCAGAATTTATTGAAACCAGTAAATTTTGCGACGGCTTATCAGCTGCAGCCTGTCGTTGCATAACACAGATAACAAGCGAGAAAGATACAGAGGTTTGAATTTTCACAGAGAAAATAAAGGCAAAACAGCATGAAGACTAATCAATAAAATGGTAACTTGAAAACGCATAGGAAAGAAAATGGGAAAGTTAACACGCCGAGGATTTCGTAAATTAAAAGGGCTCAGATCTACCAGGGCAAGCTGAGGCTGACCACGTGGTCTAACTGTTTACATAGGTCGGGTTTCTCCCCCTGCATGTAGGCTGTCTCCAGGTAGCGCAGTAACAGACTTGCTCGTGCTCGAACTAATACTCGAAAAAATGTTTCGGGTTTAACGGAGCGACTGCTGTCTAGGGGGTGTATTGTGATAGAAGACCGTGGAATCTTGTTCTCCTGCTTTAGAAGACATTTAGGCGGGTGCTCAATTGATCTGGCTGCCAGGTGCCTTTGCGTTCGCCCAATGCATTTGCATCCACAAGCGCATGTGAATTCATAAACACAATTTGACGTGGCGTGCAATGGCAAGGCATTATTAGTGGGGAGCAGACTTGCACAGCATCCACCACACTCTCTCTTCCCTCACCTGCCAGGTTTCGGTGAAGAAAGAGAGTCAGGACGGCCTTAGGCGGACTCGGGTGAACAACAGGTACTAACACGCCAGATACAGACAGTCAGTAAGTCATAGGCCTGTCTTGCATTCTGCGAATCTCTCGAGTAGACGCGTGATCCTCACTTGTTGTGACTGGAGTCGTGCTCCATCCCATTCTGTTCTCCCGCCAGTTGAGGTGATAACGATAAAAAAAACATTGTGCCAGAGGACGCATGCCACATATAAGTGCATCGACAGTGCATGCGAAGTTACACTTAGTTAAAAAAATCACTACTTGTGTGGTATGCGTTTTTTTCATTTAGCATCTATGCCCTTACTAATTCAAGTATACTTTATTGGAAACAAGCAAAAAGCATTCTTTTTGCGTTCATTCGGTTGAAAATCACGTCTTCTCCAAATGCAAGCCTTCCGCTTTTAAAAAGTTTATGATTATGAGATCTTTTAAGACCGCGCAATGACCATTCAAATAGCATCATACCCATCTGTTTACTAATGCTCCCCATTAGGTATGCAACAGCCCACATCAATCGCAAAATGTTGTGATTCCCATCTGGTACCCTCTTAGTAGCATAAAGAAATGCGGGAATTTTTTACACTGAAAATGTATAGCTTATAGACTGTAAACTATAAACGCAAATGTAATGACAAATCGGCCTCCAAGTTATTCGGGAAATGAGAAACCCTGTTAAGGCCAAAAGTATGCCAGTCTTTTGAGTATGAAATTAAATTAAAAAGTGTTTTTTACCAAATGAGCACAAGAATAAATATTATTGTGCATGTTTACTATAAACCCTGTGTGAAATGTTAATGTCGTCGAAAATCAATGGAAAAGATGCAAAGTACTTCAGTAATCATTTTTACTTAGTGAAGCTTTTGCTTGTGGCCTAAAAGAAGCTCATTCAAAAACCAGCATCTTGGCGTGACTGAAACACCCTAGGATTATACTGGTTGATAATAAATATTATAACCCCACTGAAGTAATCCTTACTAATGGAAAACATGTTTCAGAATTTCGGCTAACATTTCATAAGACCAGTCACTGATTCTAAATCGGACATCTGTTGGTAGTCAATATGGTAATGTGTGGAAGTAACTGCCAGCACATATTTGGGTAGGAGTAACTTATATGCCCCCCCCCCCCCAAACAGGACATGGGAGTAGGAATCGCCTGCAATAGGGGTGGTTTTGAGCCAACATCCAATGAAATTAGGGTTAGGGCTAGATCAAGGATTAGGTTTAAGGCTGGATTTAAAGTTACCGGTAAGGTAAGTCAGGATCAAGTTTAGGATTAAAATGGGGCTAGTGTTAAATGCAGAGTTGAGGTTTAGGGCAGGGTTAGGGTCATGATTAAGACAACGGTTTAGTTTTACATTAGGGTTAATGTTGGGATTAGAACGCAGGAACATTTTGTTCTTTCCGAAATTATGCACAGGTCCATCTTTATTACTTGGGCTGGGCGTCCCTATCCCAACGTCAGTCCGGTCGGATCTTTTTTCGTAGCCGCATCTGCAGTAGACAAGCCACTGCCTAACCCCTACCAGGTACAGCTACGAAATAAGATCTTGTCGTCAGTCTTACCCATATTTGTGTGTGACTTGGGAAAAACGGAAGTGCTGCATTCATCGACTCGGACCGTGGGTGGGTAGACACGCGCATCTCACAAACCTCCCTTCCCCCCCCCTCTGTGTGACCTTGACGCCTTGGCCAAGCCCGGGGTCAGGAGCTACCCGTGAACTCAGGAAGACTTCTATGCATCGTGCAAATGAGGAAATCACCGCACGTATTGCAGACACAGTTTTGCGCTTCCGTAACCTCCCCCCTCTGTCGAGGTCACATTGATGTGCATCTCCGCCCCTCCCCCCAGCCTACAAGATGGGGGGGGGGAGGCAGCAAAGGTGCAGGTCCCGCCAACTGCAGGAGGCCGTATAACGAAGTCTTTTATTGAGATCGAGACACTGAAAAACACACCAACCTGGGCCAGAGAAGACGAAGAGGGGGATGGGAGGAGGGTTTTGGGGTTCTGGCTCGGGGAACTACGCACACAGGAGGCTACGTGACATAACTGCGGCCTCTTGATGCGGAAGTATGCAGGCCAGGCACAGGAAC